TCACAGGAAGATGATGATGTTAAATGTTGATTTTTGTATGTTACATATAAAATAGTGTAATATAGCATTAGTAAGAAAGTATTGTTTCAGGTAATGGCTAATAAAGAGGCACAGTCCTATGTCTCTGGTGTTGGCATCCATTGGTACTTAGATTTCGTAACTCCAGCCTTGGCACTTGATCTCACGCATGAACGATATCCTGACTTGTTTATGCTCTATACAGAGGCTTGTACAGGTAATGAATTGAAATCTGTTTTTCTATACTGATATTGTTTTGAATTTTAACTATTATTTTTTTGTGAAATAGATAAATAGTATTGATGATTTAGTTTATTTATATTTATTTTTTTCACTGAGTAAAGATGAAATTAGTTTTAAAACTGGTTTGTTTTCACTTTGACTTGTGTACCTTAGAGTACATATGAAATATCAGATATTAGGTATTACCAGATCGATAAATAATCAATATCTTTATCAAATAAAAAACTCTCCTCTTAGTATTCATAGAAAATTGTCATAGAACTGTTCTGAGAGGAATTAGAAGCATTTATTGATTAATTCACTGAGTTAAAATTGCTTGGTAGAATATATACATATATAGTTTAACAGATATGCAAATAATAAAAATACGGAAATAGTTTAGAGAGAAGACAATTTTATAATAGAAATTAACTTAAGAAGGAGCACCATTTAAGTCCTTCATTTGTAAAATCGGCCATAAGTGCTCTGAACATTGCAGGTCAGTGGCCATGGCAGCCACTTAAAGTTGTTTTAGGGTCATGGGTGCGGGCAGAGGACTATGCATCAGACATCATTGAGGTATGTTTAAGATAATGAATTTTAAAATCTGGTTGAAAAAGTATTGAGGTTTATTATTATTATTATTATTATTTTTTTTGTGATGACTTTTTACATATTCCTTGGAATAAGACACTTCCCTACTGATTTAGATAGGAGGTTAGAAAAAAATTGATGCTCATGTATTTTATTGGACTTATCCAATGGCAACAGAACCTCCAGCATTGGGTATCAGGCTGGACTGACTGGAACTTGGCTCTGGATGTCAAGGGAGGGCCTAACTGGGCGAAAAATAATGTTGACTCACCCATTATTGTCAATGCTGTAAGTTCTCTTTTCTTTCACATTTTTAGTGTTTAGATTTTAATGAATATTTTACAGGATTGTAATCCAATTTTATATAAATTTTTGATATTTAGATTGAATATTTTTATTCCTAGTAATGATCATTTTATATTCTTTTCATTCATCAGCCACACAAGGAATTCTACAAACAACCAATGTATTATGCACTGGCTCATTTCACAAAGGCTCTGCCAGAAGGTAGCCGTCGAATCGACCTGAGAGCCACAATGCTCACTGACTCTGTATCCCTTCCTGTGTATCGTGTAGCCTTTGCTCAGCCAGACAACACCATAGTGCTTTTCATTGTTAATCGGTGAGTCATAACAGAGGGAATTGTTTTGGAGACAAGTTGGTATAGTTTTGAGTTTTCGTTTAATGTTGAGGTGAACTGCTCCAGTAAGGGTATCAAGATATTATTTGGGCAAAATTTGTCAAAACAGATTGATAGAAATAAATAACGTCACAAAGCACTAAATGTAACTGATGTGTTCCTCAGGTACATGACTTACATTGAGATGTTATGTTTGCATTCACACCTTTTTTTAATATTTTACAGTGAACTTGGTTTGTACTTGTACGATGTTATTCTATCATGATTTATAGTAAGTAAATGGTTGTCATAGCTAGAGAGTATGTAGCATTTAGATTTGATTAAATTTTGTTATACTGCCTATGAAGTCAAACACTTCCCAGGGGAATTCACTGCCATGGTTCAAGTGATACCGTGCTGAACCATGATTGATTAGAGAAGGCGCTCAAGTCAGGGAAGGGTGCTTCTGCCAAACAACCTCTCAATAATAAATTGGGAGAGGCCTAAGTCCTACATGGGATAATAGGTTGTGGAATAGTAATGATAATAATAATAATAACAACAATAATAAAAACTTTTCAGATTATCTGTATACTGATTTATCAAGATAGCTATTGTATAAGTTCCTTAATAGGAGTTTACAGAACATGAATGCAGCACATGAAAATATGAAATAGATATGTTAGATTTAGTATTTTTTTCTTATTACAGTTGTGCCTCATTTCACATATAGTTTTGTAATTTTTCAGGCCCATGCCTTTTTGGCATTTTTTATGATGTAACATTAAAATCAATCTCACATTTTCCAGATATCACAGTGAAGTCCAAATGAGGATTAAAGACAAGATGCTGGGACAGTTTGACATGTATGTGGATGCACACACTATCATGACAATTGCTTGGAAGAACTAGCCGTTCATGGCACTTAAGACATGTGTATGCATTTTTACTCAGTTTTAATGAGGTTTTAATATAAAATCAAAGTGAGCTATCATCCTGCTGGTGCTGAAAATTAAACATAGATAAGTAATTAACCTGCTGGATCCGGGTGCCTCGTGGCATGCATGTGGCCCAAAATCCAGGCTTACTTGAGTGGTGAGTCTCCTGATTGTAACTTGTTGACTGATCCATGGTATCAAGACTCCTTGCCTTCACTTTGTAATAGCTTTAACTGTGTTACCATATTTTGAGGTCTATATTTGTCATTTGTTATGCTATATCATGATGATGATAGACTGTTTTGTTTTCAATAAGCAGATTCCATATTATCTATCCAGGTAGTTTACATTCTGTGCAATAACAGTAACAACAAGCATTGCGTTATTTTTAAATATTTTTGTATTATTAGATTTTCCATATTGTACCCTATACCACTGTAATAGGCAAGAATAGGTTCCTGCATATGGATACAGTGTCCTCTCAGGAGACGGCCCTCTCCCAGGCATAGTTGATGGCAGGTGAATTCTATCCTCATGGACTGCTGGAAATCCTGCAGGAGCTCACAAACAAGACCCATCCAGAAGACCTACTGACTATATTGCATTCCAGTTGCTTTGTGTGCTCATGATGAGACTTCCCCTTCCACTGACATGCAACAACATATTACCATGATGAGATGTTCCTGTCACCTGCCCCATGGCCTAATTTTTTCCATGACAAGACATTCCAGTCATGTGCCCCTTGCCCAAATTTTTTCATGAAGAGATTTCCATGTCACCCAGATCCAGCAGGTTAAGTGACAAATCTTTGTTGTGATGTGTGAAAGAGTTAGCAATAGCTTACAATTTCGGAATTAGTGTTGGATGTGTAATCAGTCTTTCATGCAGAAGAAAGGTATATCAGTTTGCCTTCCCTTTCTTCACATTATCCTGTGATAGGAAGATTAGCAATGTTCCTGTTTGTTCTTTTTTTTCTCCTTCAGCTTTGTATTTTCCTTCCTAGCCCTTTTCCTCATCATATCTTCTTATCCTTTTTCTTTTCATTTCTTTTTCTTCTTTCTCTTGTTTTTCACCTTCTTGTAATCCTCCTCCTCCTTGTATAATCCTCCTCTTCTTCCTCTCACACTTCTAAACCTCCTGCTCCTCTAATCCTCCTCCTCCACCTCTAATCCTCCTCCACCTCTAATCATCCTCCTCCACCTCTAATCCTCCCTCACCTCTCCTACATCTCTATCCTCTCCTACTCTCTAACTCCTCCTCCTCTTCTAATTCTTCTCTTCCTCCTCTAATCCTTCATTGCCATCCATGACAGTTTTATTCATGATATATATTGGTTGTAATTATATTTATAGAAAATTGAACTTGAATACTGGATAACAAAAAACTCTCCTGTTGTAGAATTTCACTTTCCTTTAGTATTTTGCCAATTTTCTTTACCATTAAAAGGTCAACCCTGTTAATGCTAAGAGCACTATCTATGGGCACTTGTATACTCTGTAGTTATATTCTTCTACTCCCCACAGAGTAGTTATATTCTTAGGAGTTCTTGATGTCTTTACAAGTTCCTGCAACTAGTATACCAAGGAAGCCCATCACCCTTACTGTACATTGTCCCACCATGCTTGGCCATAAAGCTTTTCAGACATAGAAGCAAGTATCTTTGTTAATAATGAAGTGTAAACCAAATGTGCATTTGATAACACTGATATAGTGTAATAGATTATATTTTTGTGCTGTGGTATGTAATTTGGAATGAATAAAAAATGTATGTATGTGTAAATGTGTTTACCATGCCAACTGGAAGCACTGTAACACCATTAGATGATTATTGTTGGCAGCACTATTGAGATGGGCAGGTTTAAAGCCATCAGGCATCTATAAATGAGATTTGTCGGAATTTAGTATTAGATGGAGTTACTTGATTTCTATCTCTCTAAGCAAGCAACAGAGAGTAGAGTAGAGTAGAGTAAGCAAGAGAAGAGAAGAAAAGAAAATAGAGACGAGACAGTAGACAAGAAATAGAAATAGAGAAAATAAAATGAAAATAGAGAAGCAGTAGAGAAAAATACCAGACCAGACCAGACTAGAAGGAGGGCATCATAGGTAACTGTTGTTAGGTAATATGACTCAGAGTGGGAAGTTTACAATGTCAATCATCACATTGTTTAAACTTTATTATATTTTGTAAAGTAAAAGAGTATATTTTAGTGTACCTCTATTAATTAAATAGCCAAGATGCTGTACAGAGACAGTATTATCATTAGTACTGATTTTGCTATATTAAAAGCCCATTATGCATTTCACAGTATTTAAAAAAAATAAAACTAAACATGAAGAATGTTGCCATACTAAAGCAATTGGATGCTTTTACTTAAGTATCAAAGCATACGCTATAATGTGATGAACATTAGGGAAATCTGTAGTATTTGCTGTGTCGGATTTCTGAGCTCTTTCTATAACTTTATTGAATCACGGATGTATTTCTTAGTTGATGTTGCATGAATTGAGCAGTAGGGAAACATAAACCAATGTGATATATCCACCTGAAATAGTTGTAATAAATAAGTTGTTTTTGAATACTAAAGATGGTTAAAAATAATTGTACTAAACTGTGATGTGAATTTTTTTTATTAAAGGAAAAGTACATGTACAGTGTATCATTATGCATACGAGTATGAAAATAGTATCTCACTCACTCACTCGCCCCCCCTCCCTCTCTCTCCTCTCTTCATTCTCTCTCTCTCTCTCTCCTCTCTCTTCTCTTCTTCTCTCTCTCTTCATCTCTCTTCTACTCCTCTCCCTCTCTCTCAAAATCCCCTCTCTCACTCTCTCCTTCTACTCGCTTCTCCCTCTCCTCTCTCCCTCTCTCTCTCTCTCTCTCTCTCTCGTCTCTCTCTCTTCTCTCTCTCTCTCTTTCTCTCTCTTCTCTCTCTTCTCTTTCTCTCTTCTCTTTCTCTCTCTCTCTCTCTCTCTCTCTCTCCTCTCTCTCTCTCTCTCTCTCTCTCTCTCTCTCTCTCTCTCTCTCTCTCTCTCTCTCTCTCTCTCTCTCTTTCTTCTCTTTTCTCTTTTCTCTTTTCTCTTTTCTCTTTCTCACTCTCACATATAATGTATTTTATCTTAATTATTAACTATTTTTCCCTTTTCGCCACAATACTTTATCATAGAGCTGTGTGACATCTGTCTGGCACATTTATTTGCTTTGACTATTAACCATTCTGGGGATCTATAACCATCGCTTTATGAACCAAAAAACTTCCTTACCCGGAGACTCCGCTTTGTATACGGCAGATTCTTAGCGTTGCCGTCATTATTGTCTTTTAAGATAATGTTTAAAGTTATTTTACCATGTAATTTACCTTGTTATTTATGTCCTTCCCTTCTATCGGGTCTACCAAAGCAAGATTGTTAGCTACATGCCATCTTTGCTCTAATAAAGATCAGTATTCATCTATAGTTAAACTACATGCAGATCGTATCATTTTTTATTAATATATAAATTAAATGGTTATTAGCATGGTCAAGTTGTTTTTTACCACTTTATTTTCAACGCTAATGTTAATGGATCTATATTTGCGACATGGGATTTAAACTATTAAAGCCTACCCTGAAGTTGATATTTTTCGTTCTCTCTTATTTCAGAAAAATATAGAAAACGATATCACACCGGGAACTGCTCAATTCCATCAATGAATTTGTATCGCTTGATCGTATCGTACTTTTCCACGTAATATGCGATCCTTTAATTCACGCGTTGATGTCTCTCTCTCTCTCTCGCTCTTGATAAGAGTATTATGTCTCTCCCTTTTCATCTCTCAGGTCACACTGTGATATTACCCTTGGTGACTTATTATCTCAGAGAATTTGAGTCTTTGGTTCAGGGATATGAAAGCTAGTGATGCGGTCGGCAGCTCAAAAGCAGAGCGATGAATGAAATAGGTTTTATGATATTCTTGACTGACGTAGGGTTACTGTGGATAATATAGTCTACGTGACTGCGAAGATGGAAGTCGCTTCATTTCAATGCAGACTGGGGTGATAATTGCATGGCTTGTGTACATGTATTTTTTACAGAACTATCTGAGGGGGGAGATTAAGAAGGAAGGTAGGGGGAAAGGGGAGAGGAAGGGAGAGAAGAGAGAAGACTTAAGGAAGAAAGGGGGGAAGAGGGAAAAATAGGGGGAGGGTTTAAAGAAGGGAAAGGGATAGAGATGGGAGAGAGAGAAGGAGATAAATGAGCGAAGGCGGTGGGAGGAATTAAAGCCGGAGACGGGAGGGAGCAAATGAAGGCTTAAACTGAAAAGGAAAGAATGAATATAAGGAAGAATTGGGAGTGAGAGGGTGTAGCAGAGCGGGGAAAGGAAAGGAAAAGGGAAAGGAGGCGAGAGGTAGAAGAAGGAGGATTAAAGAGGGAGATGAAGGGAGAAGAACCTCTTGATTTTTTTTTGTTTCGTGGAGTTCCCACGGGTTCCGCTTTTAATGATGGTGATGGAACTAATGATCATGGTGATAGTAATGCTGATAGTAATAAAGATAGTTATAAAGATAATGATAATGATAATCGTCATGATGATAATAACAACAACGACAACAACAATAATAATAATAATAACAATAAAAATAATAATAATTATTATTATCATCATCATTACAGTAATAAACTAATAATAATGATAATGATAATAATGATAAAGATAATAATGATAATGATAATAACAGTAATAATAATAATAATAATAATAATAATAATGGCAACAACAATAATAATAATGATATCAATAATGACAATAACAGTAATAATAACAATAATAATGACAGTAATAATAATGATAATAATAATAATAATAATGATGATAATGATAATACTAATACTGGTAATGGTAATACAGATAATGATAACAATAAAAACGATGACAATTATAATGTGAATAATGGTAATCATGATAATAATTATGGTAATAACGATAAAGATGATGATAACATCTTGACTAATATTAAAAATGATATGCATAAGGATAATAACAGTGATAGTAGTTGTAGTAGTAATAATAATAATAGTAATAATGATAATGGTAATAAGTGATAATAATGATAATAATAATGATACTAATAACAACACTAATAATGATAATGATAATAATTACTATGATAATAATGATACTAAAATTCAGAATGATAATGATAAAAGACATAGTATTACTACTACTAATAATATCACTATCATTTGCGATAATGATGATAATAATTGAAATGATGTTAATAGTGATAATAGCAATGATATTGGTATTATCGACACACACACACACACATCACACACACACACACACACACACACACACACACACACACACACACACACACACACACACACACACACACACACACACACACACACACACACACACACACACACACACACACACCACACACACACACACACACACACAACACACACACACACACTCACACACACATATCACGCACACACATATATCTATATCTATGTATATATATATATATATATATATATATATATAATAATATATATATATATATATATATATAATATATACATATATACATATATATACATACATATATATATATATATATATATATATATATATATATATATATATATATATATATATATATATATACATATACATATATATATATATATATATATATATATATATATATATATATATATATATATATATATATATATATATATATAATATATACATATATATATATATATATATATATATATATATATATATATATATATATATATATATTATATATATATAAACATATATATACATACATATATATGTATATATATATATATATATATATATATATATATATATATATATATATATATATATATATATATATATGATATATATATTATATAGTATATTATATATATACATGTATATATATGCATAATATATATATATATATATATATATATATATTATTATTATATATATATATATATATATATATACTATATATATGACGTTTGCACGAGTGTGTGTGTGTGTGTGTGTACATATGCATATAATAATATATATATATATATATATATATATATA